TTAAACAAGAATAAGTACTATAAGTTTTGAAAAACCTGTTTCATAGTTGGTGTAAAAAAAAAAATATGCACGTACTTATTGAAGAAGTATAATTCTACACTGATGTCAAGCATTATTGTCAGATTACAATCTATGTAATATGTTCAGTATAAGTTAGAGTGGGATTATTATTATATAAGGATGTGTCCGACATTATCGCTTTAGGTTTTGTTTCATTTTGTTTAATGTCCTATTAACGGCTAAGGTAATTTGAGGATATGATTGCGTGTGTGTAATGCATGCGTGTATGTGTTCTGGAAGCGGTATGTTGGTGTATTTGCCTCCTCGTGATAGCGCGGATATGAGGTCGTCTTTATAGTGCTATCTCACTGCAATACCATGACGAGGGCAGCCAGCATAGCATTCTGCCCAGTCACATTATACTGACAACGGGTGAACCGATTGTTGTCATTACCTCAAATGCAGAACGTTAAGCACGGATTAACAACTGTCATTTTAAGGACTTTGTATGTCCCGACCTGGGGACAGAATCGTTCTACGCTAAGGCCGAAAGTAAGATATTGCAAAAACTTTTAGAAAGTAAAGAGAACATACAAGGATCACAAATGTTGCAAAGGGTCAGCAGATCAATTTAGGTTTCTGCAATTTCCTCTTCGCAGAAAGCACAGGAGGAACCCCCCGATCTACAAGGTTCCCACATTAGTCAACGTTAACGACATGCAGTGGGTACATTATTTCCCAAGCCTGAATTCAACCGACCCTGTTGTTAATATCTATAACTCTGTACTATACGAGTATCGATATATATATGTCCAGAAGTATGGTCTGAGTGAGCAGTTTTAATACAACATTGGTCATAGTCCAGCATGTATAAAACTACCAAACTTCTGAAGGTTTATCAAGCCCCTTATGGAATGGATCACCGAAGTACCAACCCCCTGATAGATCATACTTAAAGACCCAGGTCTGTAATTTCGATATACTCAACTTGTATTTTAGTTATTAAAATGGTGTATAACGACGATGAATTTGTTAATAGTGATGTTTAATCAAAATAGTTCACCCGCATTTTAGCATAGTTATTTGTCGATCTCTTTTGCAATCCAACTGGGTGATACGAAATGACACAGTAGTTCAAGTGCGTACACCTTGGTCATGCGGGGCTGAAACATACAGGCCTCAAATAAAAATGGGTGTGACCATGTGAAACCCCTAAAATCATAGTAAAATTCCTCTGTAATGTATTTCAACAAATTGTGAACAAGAAAATAAAGGCTTTGTGATTGAGGTTGACGAAGAACTTAACATGCCATCCCATTTCGTAACATTCTGATGTGTGAATGGGCTATACATGTTATAAACAGTATAAGAACTGGACATGAAAAGTGCTGTACTATGTAGATTTAACATGTCTTGCCTTTTTGACATAGCAATGCTAAATATTAAAAGAAACTGCCTGTAAAGTTAATTTATTCACCAAGGTCACACGGCCTTTGGTTTCATTATATACCAATAAATGATGTTATAAATCGGAACATTTTACTATATAATCGATACTTGTCGTTTCTCAAAGCCTCTTGACGGCTAATAAAAGAGAAACTAAACTCCGCATGACCTAGGTATATAAATGAACTTGGCCATTACGTAGCATTCAGTGGGGTCGCAACAGAGGTTGACATTGTAACATGTATAGTGCCGTTGAACTATTTGTATGAAGACGTCCTGTGTGAATGCCTCATTGCAGAAGAGGTTACATTTGTAACGTTCCTAAGTACCATTTTATGAAGAAGAAAAAACAAATTTGCATATCTGAATTCCAATATTTAATTGTGGTCCTTTTTTGTAATTTTGTAAAAAAAATTACAAGTTTATAACAATGCAAATATATCATACATAAACATTATTACTCTCACACATTACCATTCATTCATTAATTATTCGTTTATAATAAACTGCATATATGGCCATGGTACCTCTCTATTATTTCCAGGTATAATTAATGATTATTTATGTTTATGTCAAATTAAATTACAGCTAAATTGTGTCCGTTATATATAGGCATTGTTTACAAGTGATAGAAAAGAGGTTAGAGCAGGTCCTAGAGGTATAGAAGGGAAAGTAAGACTAAAGAGAGAGAGAAAAAACCAATGAGGGGGAGGGGGGATTGAGAAACAAAGAAGCTATATAGATGTGTCGGAGAGTTCAAGGAGTTTTACATATATGTATTTATATGTTTATATAAGAAAATTCTATAGTTATATGTTCATATTTTGGCAAAGACAGGATTTAAGCAATATTCATTAGACTTTCCCCTTTTTTCCATTCCGGATTAAATTTCAATAAAAATAATTCACTTTTATTGACAGCAATATATCTCTGAGTAAAATATGTTTCCTTGATAAGGTTCTTAAGTGCAGCTACTGACAATGACATTTGTAAACATCTCGATTTATAAATATATTGTTTTATAATTAGAATTAGGTTATTATCTACCCTACTACTGATACTATTTTGATTAAATAAACCGAAAATGAAGGTTTCCTTGTTAAAACCAAATGGGATTAATAATGCATCAAGAAGGAACTCAAAATTGTGAAGCAAGTCTTGTACTTTCTCACATTCCCATAGTGTGTGAATTATTGTTTCTAGTTCAGTCTTACATTGAAAATAAAGGGCACTATCGGTAAGAGCTGCTTTAAAAAGATAAGAGTTTGTAGTTAAAATGTGTTGATTTATTCTGTATTGAAGCCATTGTAATTTTGAATTTCTAGTTACTGCAAAAGGAATCATATAAATCAATTTCCGTGTGTCATCATCGAATTCAAACATTTGTTTTTCCCAGTGGATATGGTACTATTTTGGCACAACAACTTATACAAATCTTGAGTTCCTTTTTTTTGCTTCATAAATATTTCTAAATTTAAGGATATGTATGGATAACTAATCAAAGTATTCAAAGTATCATCATTGGACATGTAGTTTTTTATAGTATTAATAATACCTTGATATGTGAGAAAGTTATGAAACAATAAAAAATACCAGAATTATTATCTTTTAATAAGTCATTTATAAATATAACACCCTTTTCAAACCATTGCTTATAAAATAAACACTTGGTTCCTACTGTAAGATATGTATTATACCAAATAGGCATTTTCAATCTACTTTTTATCTCTCTTATACAATCTTCCTTATCTGCTATTTTTCTCCATGATTGAAACACATCTTTCCAAAATAGGCTTTTTCAATTGCCTTGAATAATCGATAAATATTCTGAACCCCAATGAAATAAAATGTCCTTATTAGCATATTTTTTAAATAACACTTGCCATTTACCCCCTGATGTAAGCAACCTACCTATTCCAAGTAAGTTTCAAGGCTTCAATAACCGATTCGATGTGTATCATTATAAGTCCCCCTTCCTGATAGCTTTTGATGATAATATCCCGTTTTGTTTTATCTACTTTACTTTTCCATAAGAAATAAAAAAAATCTGATTTTTTTTTTTTAATAAAATTGTCATCTGGATTTGGTAAGGAGATAAATAGATGATTAAATTGGGATATTAATAAATATTTAATAATTTGAATTCTTCTTATTGGTGTTAATATTCTTCTACTCCAATTCTTAATTATTGACTAAGTTTCACTAATCTTTTAGCATAGTTTAATTTAGGGATTTGATGTAAATCTGCATGAAATTCTATACCTAGTACCATAAATTTTTGACTTCCCCATTGCAGGTTCCATTCCGGATAATAAATCTTATCACTGTACTTTTTATTGCCTATCCATATAACTTGTGTTTTACTTTTATTTATTTTAAGACCAGAAATTTTTGCAAATAAATTAAGCTCTTTTATTGATTCTTTTAATGATTGTTTCGTTCCATCTAAAATAAGAGAGGTATAGTCTGTATACTGCGAGAGAAGTATAGTGGACAGTTGTCTACATTAATACCCCTTATATAATTATTATTTCTAAGTCTAATTGCATGTATTTCTGAACACAAAATAAGAATGTACGGAGCTATCGGATCACCTTGAGTCCTTGACGGAAACCCCTCTTAATTTCAAAAAAAGATGAGAGATTACCACCTTGATTAATAGCAGACATAGAGTTATTATGTAATGTTTTCATCCAACTTCTAATATCCTCACCAAAATTAAAATATTTAAATACATTATCAATAAACTCCCAGCTAACAGAATCAAATGCCTTTTCAAAATCAACAATCAAAAGCATCCCATCTATATCATTGCCCTCTGTATACTGCATTTTATCGTAAATTAATCGTGTATTCTCCGCTGCCTGAAATAAATCCTGTCTGGTCAGTGTTAATTAATTTATCTAAAACAGTTTTTAATCTAGAAGCTATTGAGCCAGATGCAATTTTGTAAACAATATTCAAAAGACAAATAGGTCTCCAATTTTTTAAGAATTTACCTAGTTGTTTCCAAAAACACTTACAAAATTCTACTGTAAATCCGTCCGACCCGGGGCTTTTATTATTTTTCATATGTTTTAAAGTATGCGACGCTTCAGTAAAAGTTATATTACCTTCTAAAGATAAAGATTCTACATTGTTTAATTTTGGAACATTACAGTTAGGTAGAAATTTATTTAGATCCACTTCTTCGATATTTCTATTACTTGGATACAGTTGTTCATGAAATGATTTAACTTCATTTAGAAAATCTTCTTGTTTTCTTAAAACTTCACCATTTCCTTTCTCTATTGTGGTCCTTCAGGAGGTTGACATTGTGGTTGACTATGCCATCTTTTAAGAGGGCTTATTGGACATTAACTAGAGCAGTAAAACCGTTATTTTAAGACCTCATACCGACATTTTAGAATCAGAGTGTTCTCGGTGAACTCGACTTTATAACAATCTTGTGACATCGTCATGCGATTTGAAACATTTTATTTGTCGAACGTTGTTTATTATACATTCCCTCGGCTGATCATACACAGTGAGACGTGACACGGCAGGTAAGGTGGCAGGTTGCCAAGGAGCGGCGGCCATTTGTAAACAATGATCGTAAAGCGTCGATGATTTAAACATGGCGTCTTATAAGGTGAAATAGTTGTGATATTCTCGGAGAATCTCCGTGAATTCTTACCGTGCCCATGGATGTGAAGAGAGAAGTATGTCGGTCGGCGGTATTACTAGCCTGGATCGGGTTTGCCCTGGCAGTCGATATGGGTAATTATATAGAACTTCAGACTATAACGTTACGATCATGTTACCCTTTATTATGACCAGAAAATGTCTGAATATATAAGGTATGTCAAAATATAGATCGCTGGTAGGGCATTCAGGGGACTCGTTGAACCATATAGTAAAAACTGTGCTTCTCTATTTTCTGTATTTTCGCCCCTTTCTATATAGCCAGTACAAATCATAATAAAGAAAACGAGGATTTTTGTATCAGGACTCGGCACTTCCGATTATATATAGTTATGGTACAATTCCCTGGTAAATCGATTTCACGCCAACAGTAGCTAGTACAAGCGTAATATAGCACAGTGCACGTGTACCTAAACGTTAGGTATACCTGTTGTACACCTGTATCTACAGTATGTTCTCTGTAAGATAGCGAACGTCTCCTCATTTACTGCTTGTTGTAGCTAAAAATGGGACGGAGTCAAATCATAGTCTAAAATGTTAGATTAATATAATTAAGTTTGGTACCTGTCTATGGTATAGCTACCTTCATGTAAGTAAGTTTGGTACCTGTCTATGATATAGATATATAGCTACATACATGTAATTAAGTTTGGTACCTGTCTATGGTATAGCTACATACATCTAATTAAGTTTGGTACCTGTCTATGATATAGATATATACATGTAATTAAGTTTGGAACCTGTATATAATATATCTACATACATGTAATTAAGTTTGGTACCTGTCTATGATACAGTTACATACATGTATTTAAGTTTGGTACCTGTCTATGATATAGTTACATACATGTAATTAAGTTTGGTACCACCTATGGTATAGCTACATACACGTAATTAAGTTTGGAACCTGTATATAATATAGCTACATACATGTAATTAAGTTTGGTACCTGTCTATGATATAGCTACATACATGTAATTAAATTTGGTACCTATCTTTGGTATAGCAACATACATGTAATTTATTTTGGTACCTGTCTATGATATAGCCACATACATGTAATTAAGTTTGGTACCTGTCTATGATAAAGTTACATACATGTAATTAAGTTTGGTACCACCTATGGTATAGCTACATACATGTAATTAAGTTTGGTACATGTCTATGATATAGCTACATACATGTAATTAAGTTTGGTACCTGTCTATGATATAGATATATACATGTAATTAAGTTTGGTACCTGTCTATGATATAGCTAGATACATTAAATTGAGGTTGGTACCTTTCTATGATATAGCTACATACATGTAATTAAATTTGGTACCTATCTTTGGTATAGCAACATACATGTAATTTATTTTGGTACCTGTCTATGATATAGCCACATACATGTAATTAAGTTTGGTACCTGTCTATGATACAGTTACATACATATAATTAAGTTTGGTACCTGTCTATGATATAGCTACACAGATGTAATTAAATTTGGTACCTGTCTATGGTATAGCTACATACATGTAATTGAGTTTGGTACCTTTCTATGATATAGCTACATACATGTAATTAAGTTTGGTACCTGTCTTTGGTATAGCAACATACATGTAATTAATTTTGGTACCTGTCTATGATATAGCTACATACATGTAATTAAATTTGGTACCTGTCTTTGGTATAGCAACATACATGTAATTTATTTTGGTACCTGTCTATGATATAGCCACATACATGTAATTAAGTTTGGTACCTGTCTATGGTATAGCAACATACATGTTATTAAGTTTGGTACCTGTCTATGATATAGCTACATACATGTAATTAAGTTTGGTACCTGTCTATGGTATAGTTAGATTTATATAATTAGCTACATATATAAATGTCATTACGTTTGGTACGTGTTCATTGTATAGCTACATACATGTCATAAGGTTTGGTACGTGTTTCAGTGTATAGCTACATAGATGTCATAAGGTTTGGAACGTGTTTCACTGTATAGCTACATACATGTCATAAGGTTTGGAACGTGTTTCAGTGTATAGCTACATAGATGTCATGAGGTTTTGTACGTGTTTCACTGTATAGCTACATATATGTCATAAGGTTTGGTACGTGTTTCACTGTATAGCTACATAGATGTCATAAGGTTTGGAACGTGTTTCATTGTATAGCTACATAGATGTCATAAGGTTTGGAACGTGTTTCACTGTATAGCTACATATATGTCATAAGGTTTTGTACGTGTTTCACTGTATAGCTACATAGATGTCATAAGGTTTGGAACGTGTTTCATTGTATAGCTACATACATATCATAAGGTTTGGAACGTGTTTCACTGTATAGCTACATACATGTCATAAGGTTTGGAACGTGTTTCAGTGTATAGCTACATAGATGTCATGAGGTTTTGTACGTGTTTCACTGTATAGCTACATATATGTCATAAGGTTTGGTACGTGTTTCACTGTATAGCTACATAGATGTCATAAGGTTTGGAACGTGTTTCATTGTATAGCTACATAGATGTCATAAGGTTTGGAACGTGTTTCACTGTATAGCTACATATATGTCATAAGGTTTTGTACGTGTTTCACTGTATAGCTACATAGATGTCATAAGGTTTGGAACGTGTTTCATTGTATAGCTACATACATATCATAAGGTTTGGAACGTGTTTCACTGTATAGCTACATACATGTCATAAGGTTTGGAACGTGTTTCAGTGTATAGCTACATAGATGTCATGAGGTTTTGTACGTGTTTCACTGTATAGCTACATATATGTCATAAGGTTTGGTACGTGTTTCACTGTATAGCTACATAGATGTCATAAGGTTTGGAACGTGTTTCATTGTATAGCTACATAGATGTCATAAGGTTTGGAACGTGTTTCACTGTATAGCTACATATATGTCATAAGGTTTTGTACGTGTTTCACTGTATAGCTACATAGATGTCATAAGGTTTGGAACGTGTTTCATTGTATAGCTACATACATGTCATAAGGTTTGGAACGTGTTTCACTGTATAGCTACATACATGTCATAAGGTTTGGAACGTGTTTCAGTGTATAGCTACATAGATGTCATGAGGTTTTGTACGTGTTTCACTGTATAGCTACATATATGTCATAAGGTTTGGTACGTGTTTCACTGTATAGCTACATAGATGTCATAAGGTTTGGAACGTGTTTCATTGTATAGCTACATAGATGTCATAAGGTTTGGAACGTGTTTCACTGTATAGCTACATATATGTCATAAGGTTTTGTACGTGTTTCACTGTATAGCTACATAGATGTCATAAGGTTTGGAACGTGTTTCATTGTATAGCTACATACATATCATAAGGTTTGGAACGTGTTTCACTGTATAGCTACATACATGTCATAAGGTTTGGAACGTGTTTCAGTGTATAGCTACATAGATGTCATGAGGTTTTGTACGTGTTTCACTGTATAGCTACATATATGTCATAAGGTTTGGTACGTGTTTCACTGTATAGCTACATAGATGTCATAAGGTTTGGAACGTGTTTCATTGTATAGCTACATAGATGTCATAAGGTTTGGAACGTGTTTCACTGTATAGCTACATACATGTCATAAGGTTTGGAACGTGTTTCACTGTATAGCTACATAGATGTCATGAGGTTTGGAACGTGTTTCACTGTATAGCTACATAGATGTCATAAGGTTTGGAACGTGTTTCACTGTATAGCTACATAGATGTCATAAGGTTTGGAACGTGTTTCACTGTATAGCTACATACATGTCATAAGGTTTGGAACGTGTTTCACTGTATAGCTACATACATGTCATAAGGTTTGGAACGTGTTTCACTGTATAGCTACATAGATGTCATAAGGTTTGGAACGTGTTTCACTGTATAGCTACATAGATGTCATAAGGTTTGGAACGTGTTTCACTGTATAGCTACATACATGTCATAAGGTTTGGAACGTGTTTCACTGTATAGCTACATACATGTCATAAGGTTTGGAACGTGTTTCACTGTATAGCTACATAGATGTCATAAGGTTTGGAACGTGTTTCACTGTATAGCTACATAGATGTCATAAGGTTTGGAATGTGTTTCACTGTATAGCTACATACATGTCATAAGGTTTGGTACGTGTTTCATTGTATATCTACATAGATGTCATAAGGTTTGGTACGTGTTTTATTGTATAGCTACATAGATGTCATAAGGTTTGGTACGTGTTTCATTGTATAGCTACATAGATGTCATAAGGTTTGGAACGTGTTTCACTGTATAGCTACATAGATGTCATAAGGTTTGGTACGTGTTTTATTGTATAGCTACATACATGTCATAAGGTTTGGTATGTGTTTCATTGTATTGCTACATAGATGTCATAAGGTTTTGTACGTGTTTCATTGTATAGCTACATACATGTAACAAGGTTTGGAACGTGTTTAAACTGTATAGCTACATTTGTTCACATGTCAATAGTATGACTACTTAAATAAATATTCTTCGTTTGCTACATTTATGACGTAATTGAAATAGATTATGTGTTCTGAGTATTCCTTTTTATAATTTGTATTTACAATGTAAACATAACCTAATCGATGAATAAAAATAAATCGGTTGATTGATTTTGTTGTTAGGTTAATCTTGTCATCAGGAATGGCTAGTTAAAGCGTGACCATTATCTAGTCAGAACTTACTTTTCTTTACAGATTATATGTCGGCTTCCTGTACCACTCTAGGCGTCACAGTCACAAAGTCCCGGATGTTGGAGTCGAGTTCGGCATTGGATTACAGGGATGATATGAATTGTGTTTATACCGCCACCGTGTCTAACAGTCGCTACAACATATTGGCCGTCTTCAGGTAATCTGTCTCAACTTATCCTGCCGAACATACTTTACTTGATTAAACTTAGAAATATTAAAATTGTGAAACAATGTTCGTTGCCGTTGAGTCCATAGTTTGTATTTGTTTGTTGGCGTTGAGACCCGAGTTTGTACGATATTGTTGACATTGATCCCCGAGTTTGCATTCTGTTGTTGACATCAAGACCCGAGTTTGTACTCTGTTGTTGACATTGAGACCTGAGTTTGTACTCTGTTGTTGACATTGAGACCCGAGTTTGTACATGTTGTTGACATTGAGACCCGAGTTTGTACTATGTTGTTGACATTGAGACCCGAGTTTGTACTATGTTGTTGACATTGAGACCCGAGTTTGCAGTTGACATTGAGACCCGAGTTTGTACTCTGTTGTTTACATTGAGACCTGAGTTTGCACTCTGTTGTTGACATTGAGACCCGAGTTTGTACTATGCTGTTGACATTGAGACCCGATTTTGTACGTTGTTGTTGACATTGAAACTTGAGTTTGTACGATGTTGTTGACATCGAGACCCGAGTATGTACTCTGTTGTTGACATTGAGACCCGAGTTTGTACGATGTTGTTGATATTGAGACCCGAGTTTGTACTACGCTGTTGACATCAAGACCCGAGTTTGTACTATGCTGTTGACATCAAGACCCGGGTTTGTACTATGTTGTTGACATCAAGACCAGAGTTTGTACTATGTTGTTGACATTGAGAACCGAGTTTGTACTATGCTGATGACATTGAGACCCGAGTTTGTACTATGCTGATGACATTGAGACCCGAGTTTGTACTAGGTTGTTGACATCAATTCCCGAGTTTGTACATGTTGTTGACATTGAGACCCGGGTTTGTACTATGTTGTTGACATCAAGACCCGGGTTTGTACTATGTTGTTGACATCAAGACCCGAGATTGTCGTATGCTGTTGACATTGAGACCCGAGTTTATACTATGTTGTTTACATTGAGGCCCGAGTTTGTACTATGCTGTTGACATCAAGACCCGGGTTTGTACTATGTTGTTGACATCAAGACCCAAGTTTGTACTATGTTGTTGACATCCATTCCCGAGTTTGTACTATGTTGTTGACATCAAGACCCGAGTTTGTCCTATGCTGTTGACATTGAGACCCGAATTTATACTCTGTAGTTGTCATCAAGACCCGAGTTTGTACTCTGTTGTTGACATCAAGACCCGAGTTTGTACTATGTTGTTGACATTGAGACCCGAGTTTGTACGATGTTGTTGACATTGAGACCCGAGTTTGTACTATGATGTTGACATTGAGACCCGAGTTCGTACGATGTTGTTGACATCAATTCCCGAGTTTGTACTATGTTGTTGATATTGAGACCCGAGTTTGTACTGTGTTGTTGACATCAATTCCCGAGTTTGTACTATGTTGTTGACATTGAGACCCGAGTTTGTACTATGTTGTTGATATTGAGACCCGAGTTTATACTCTGTTGTTGACATCAATTCCCGAGTTTGTACATGTTGTTGACATCAATTCCCGAGTTTGTACATGTTGTTGACATCAATTCCCGAGTTTGTACATGTTGTTGACATCAATTCCCGAGTTTGTACATGTTGTTGACATCAATTCCCGAGTTTGTACATGTTGTTGACATTGAGGCCCGAGTTTGTACTATGTTGTTGACATCAATTCCCGAGTTTGTACTATGTTGTTGATATTGAGACCCGAGTTTATACTCTGTTGTTGACATCAATTCCCGAGTTTGTACATGTTGTTGACATTGAGACCCGAGTTTGTACTATGTTGTTGACATCATTTCCCGAGTTTGTTCTATGTTGTTGACATTGAGACCCGAGTTTATACTATGTTGTTGACATTGAGACCCGAGTTTGTACTATGCTGTTGACGTTGAGTTCCGAGTTTGTACTATGTTGTTGAGTTATATTCCCTTGTTTGTACATGACCTTGTTTTGTTGACGATGAGCTCCGGGTTTGTACACGTGTGTTAACGCTATGATAAAGCATTTATCTTCACTTTGTTTATTCTTTACTGCAGCCGATTTGACCTTGAGGCAAAGTCCAGCGGCAGTTGTCTTGACTACGTAAACGTTTACGACGGAAACTCCGTGTCGGCCCCAGTCCTCAACACCGAGCCTCTCTGTGGTTCAACGATTCCCAGCAACTTGGTCTCTACCGGAAGTCAGTTGACCATTGAATTTGTAACTGACAGCAGCGCTGTTCTACTGGGTTTTGGCATAATCTTCACTGAAGTATACAATGGTAAAATTGTGTTACACTTTTCTAGTCTGTTTAATATACATTATGTATAGATCTACCCAGTTTAAATTAATCCTGATCATCCAAATCATTTTCACCAGAACATGTGTGACAAAACACGCTGACGGCCTATTTTGTTACACTTCGTTTCCTCTTTAAAATATTTGTGATTCTGTTTCTAATTGACCTCATGTAATTAACTATAAAACAGGAATGCAGAAGAAAATAATCTCAAAGACGGTCCAAGTGTCGTTCCTTAATTATTATTTTTGTTTGTAATTATTTTGGACAAATTATCTTTCCATCTTTAACTTGCGTTCATAATGAAAGTTTAATGCATGAACGGCAACTCTTCTCAGACAAGCGTTCATGATATAATCCCCTAATTACTTTAGAGAGGAATGTGTAATTTAATTTTCTGAATGTGACGTCCCCAGTGCCAGTGTAATATGCTGGAACATTAACTGATATATATTAGAACTTTTCGCATTGTTCCAGGATCATGCGCGTCCACGGAGTACGGTTGTAGTAACGGATACTGTGTGAACTCGGACCTAAGGTGTAACAACTACAAGGAGTGTGGGGACGGCTCTGACGAGGACTCGTGCACAAGTAAGTTTCGCACATTTTGTTGTGTTGAAGTTTTTGTAAACAGCAGTGAATTGATATGAGAACTGTCTCACATGTGACTGTCAAAAAGTGAAATGCATCAGATATATCCGACGACAATAGAATCTGTTGAATTGTGTGCTTATTAAGTTGCCCAAATAAATGATCTTATGTTTGTACGGATACGTAACCTACCACATACCTATTACGGTGAACTGGTTATCTCCCTTGCTAATTAATGTCTGTTTTTACCAGCTGAAGAACTATACGGAGCAGGATCAGACAACACTGCACTGATCGCCGGTCTGACGATTGGTCTGCTAGCTCTGGTGGTACTAGTAGCTATCGTCGTCTTTTTCATCTACCGACAATACAGATGGCGCCTCTTCCTCAAAGACCCAATACCGGAAATGAAGAAATGGAACACCAGCAACAACTACCCGGTGACCCAAAAATACTACAAACATGGCTTCACCAACTCTGGATACCAGAGCGTGGAAGCACGCTCGCCTACGTCACAACCTTACAAGGACTTCGAGGTCAATAGTGACGACCTTGGTAACTCTAAGAAAGGTGACCCGCTGACCTTCACACCTTCTGAGTCAAAAGAAAAAGTATCATTTGTTGATAAGCCTGGTTCCTCCAAGGTGTGAGGCCTCACATGGAACACGTCCCTGGCCAGAATGTTTAAGTACTGTCTTAGTATGGTGTCAGTGTTTAGAGCATAACAAGTATACAATCTATCTTTAGAAAGATTTTGGACACGTTCAGTAAAGAAAACGTTTCTAAGGTTGTTGACCAACACTGATTGTTTTGTTACAGTTGTATACATTTTTGATATATTCCCATTGTCTTACCATTGTCTTATCATCTAATACCTTTCTTTCACTTGTTTCTTTGTGAACTGGTATCGTGTGGATCCATGTTTATCTGTATCCATAGAGATAGGAATAATGTTAGCCATTTTTGTTATCCATGTAAACATTCATTGATCAATCTGTATCCATAGAGATAGGAATGTTAGCCATGTTTGTTATCCATGTAAACATTCATTGAGCCATCTGTATCCATAGAGATAGGAATGTTAGCTATGTTTGTTATCCATGTTAACATTCATTGAGCCATCTGTATCCATAGAGATAGGAATGTTAGCCATGTTTGTTATCCATGTTAACATTCATTGAGCAATCTGTATCCATAGAGACACGACCCCTATTGACGTTTATCCGTCCAGTAGCTAGTTATGTATAAGTCAGTACCGTCTGTGCCTTATGAAACAATCCCCTCAATCCTCTAACGGGACTTTGACACCCATATTATAGAACTTTAACCAATGCATTTTGTTCCATATTGATGTGTGTACGAAGTTCATCTCTCTCTCTCTATATATATATAGGTATGGCCACATTTAATTTGAAAATTAAGTAAACTCGTTCGTACTCTATAAGTAGATTGCCATAAATTGGCATCTAGTATGGTACAATGTATCAGTCATAAAAATACACTCTCAAGGTCACTCAATGTCAGGTTTCCTTGAAATATAGAATATATTTGCCAACAAAAACAAGAGTTCCGTCGATTCAGTCAAACTTTAAGTTTATACAGGGGAAGTTTACCCAACACTCCAGCTGAGATTGCTTCCACGCTTTAAAGGTCAAGGTCATCTTGTTGAATTGGTTTACAGATAGCATAGTTCCCAGTAACTACAGATTCCAGCTTGATCAAGCTGTGTATCACTTATCTTACAATGTTGTTCTTTTCATTGTCGTTTTAAAAAAACATGTTTCGTATGAACTGTATAAGATATGCTTCATTTACTATATGATCAAACATTGTCACTGGCCCTACTACCTACACCTGCGGTAGACTTTACGTCAATCAATTCCGTCTTTGCGTATTGCAGAGGTATCTTCTCTTGGTAGCAGGTATTGATTGTTACGTCATTGGTTTGTGTGAGAAAATTACGTCGTTTTCTCAAAAATTGATGACGTTATTCTCACGAACAGATGACGTAACAATCATTACCTGCTCCCAAGAGAAGATAACTCTGCAATACGCAAAGACGGAATACACTTTGGTTCGACTGCCGATATTCCTGATAAATCGTGATCTTGTTAGAGTGTCTCAATGTTTCTACATATTCTATTGACTCTGTACCTTGGTCTTAACACAAACACTGTATTACATAATTATGAGATGTTAGTTTTACTAATTGAAATATTTTTACTGACATGTTGTGTATTTCGCAGGCGAAATACTTTCGTTATATCGTGGTAAGTTTTCATTTTCGTTTATAATTAACAAAAATAAACTATCAGAATACAATAACCAAATTGTCGTTGTGTTTTACCGAGTTTTAATCCGGAATCCTTGAAGAAAATATTCTAATTTCGGGCTTTACTTACACATTTGTATGGTAAACATTTGAACGTAAAATGGCGGACCCATAGACTGATGAATGCTAAATAATTATGGAACGGTTCTCCGAAGATGATTCCTATCTTTAACTGGACACATGTGTAATTTTAAAAAGAAAAGACACACATTGTTGGTATTTCTCGACCCATGTTAAATACGGTGACGTTACAGTCAATTCAACGTTTCCGGAAAGGCATGATGAAGAATAACATAGATTATCTTGTTTGCTTCTGGACCGATTTGATCAATGATCACCGTGTATTCTTATCTGAAAGTTCTACTAAAACCAATATGGGTAGTCCCATTATAGGGACATTGGTAGTATATATAGTGAATCAGTAGTCCTATTTTAGGGACATTGGTAGTATATATAGTATATCACTAGTCCCATTATAGGGACATTGGTAGTATATATAGTATATCAGTAGCCCCATTATAGGGACATTGGTAGTATATATAGTTAATCAGTAGTCCCATTATAGGGACATTGGTTGTATATATAGTATATCAGTAGTCCCATTATAGGGACATTGGTAGTATATATATAGTTAATCAGTAGTCCCATTATAGGGACATTGTTAGTATATATAGTGAATCAGTAGTCCCATTATAGGGACATTGTTAGTATATATAGTGAATCAGTAGTCCTATTATAGTGAATCAGTAGTCCCATTATAAGGACATTGGTAGTATATATAGGTATTGGTAAATCGAGGCGTTTTAATCTCTATACGATCTAACCAGCTATGACCTTATACTTTTATACTTTACTATTCCTATTTCAATTATACTCCACAAATAAGTAACTTTACCTACTTTTCTATAAATGGTATTCTTCTACGGACATATGAGTTTTAAGTTGAGCATGTTTGTTTGTTGTAAGATTTGTTCAATCTGTCTTGTTTTACAGTTTCCATCTTATACATTGAATTACACATAGACTAGCTATCTATTTTCATATAAAACTATAAGAACTTAACAGTTTTGGCGACTGTGACCTGTGCATATATTTGCATATGGACTTTTGGTCAATGTCTGCCAATATCTGTGTGATTTGATAGCTATATAGCTTATAGACAATTGTAAAATGTTATAAAAATAAATAATACCCGTGGAAGAGTTTTGTGTGTGATGTGAGAAGTGTGAATGTATTTGTATTTCAGTTATGTTAATTAAGAAGGAGTTACATCTCTTTAATATTTTCATTTTTTTTTTATAATTTTCATTTCAAAATTGATGTATTAATTAAATCAAATAAAAATAATAGAATCCGTTAATTTAGCCACCGCTGGAGAGAATTTATATAGACTTTGCCTGTTATTCCATCCAATTGACTTGTATCAACTTTGTCAATAAAATTTGTTGAAATGAAATATATAGTGAATCAGTAGTCCCATTATAGGGACATTGGTAGTATATATAGTGAATCAGTAGTCCCATTATAGGGACATTCGTAGTATATATAGTGAACCAGTAGTCCTATTATAGTGAATCAGTAGTCCCATTATAGGGACATTGGTAGTATATAGAGTAAGTCAGTAGTCCCATTATAGTGAACCAGTAGTCCCATTAAAGTGAATCAGTAGTCCCATTATATGTAATATATATAGTGAATCAGTAGTCCCATTATAGGGACATTGGTAGTATATAGAGTAAGTCAGTAGTCCCATTATAGTAAATCAGTAGTCCAATTATAGTGAATCAGTAGTCCCATTATAGTGAACCAGTAGTCCCATTATAGCGAATCAGTAGTCCCATTATATGTAGTATATATAGTGAATCAGTAGTCCCAGTATAGGGACATTGAAACACCATGTTAAAAATAAATTATGAACTTTTTAAACAGAATAATCCAAATTGAAATGTTTAATAGAAACACTATTAGCCGAATATCAACAAATTTTCATTTTATTTGTGAACGGGTACAGATAACACAGCACAGTTTATTTTCAAAACAAATTATTTATATTTCTCATATGGAAATATTTACTGATAGAAAATGTATCTTGAAAGGACAAATTTGGTTTGAAAGACGCTTGGAGGTCACCTCACATAAAGACAGATAGTTGTCATACTGTACAGAGCTCATGAAGGATACGTACAATCACAGAGATACAAGATTACAAAAGTAAGTTATACTCCAGTGTATCCATTAATGGGACTTAAGAAATCTGAGCTCTCGTACAATTTTAAAACGGGTCCTATAGGTAACTTGTTTTTCTAAATCGGCTCGCATTACATGCAAAATATACCTTTACGAAAATGAGAGAATAACAGACCCCCGCTATCGGTCTGAATGTTTAACCTAAATCAGAACGAAGGACCTGGGAATTTGTAACAGTATAGCTATGCTTGTCGATTAAATGTTCCAGTTTTTAAACTCGTCTAATATTACTTATCTTCGCTATCCAAGGGTTACGATTCAGTACGGTCCACAGGGACCTGATAATTTGTTACAGCAATATTTGGACCTAAACTAAGGTGTTAAGAGTAATTTTACATGTTTCAGGGGTTTAGATCGACTTTCGGCAAAAAAAAAAAAAAAAAAAAAAACAACTATGCTTTTATATACAAACCCCTAAAACATGTAAAATTACTCTGAACAACTTAGTTCAGGTCAAAATATAGCTGTAGAGCGGATCGTACCGGGTCGTACCGGATCATAACCCTTGGCTGGCGAAGAAGAATATTATATTTGAACATACTGTAGCCAATTCTCATATCCCTGCTTATCAGAATCAGACATATGCTTTATAGATCGATAGAGTTATAGACACATTAAACATTTTGATAATTTAACTTGCCGGTTATTTATTCTAAAGTCAAATGTATTCATAATCTATTTGGGGCAGCTAACATCTGGAGAGTGTGTTTATTATTACGTCATAAAAATAGATAACTCTGACATACAGATATGGAGACGACTACTCTGTTAAAACAGTTTATATCTCTAAAATCTGACGAGCGATGCTGCCAGTAAATTTGAATGTGTTTCATACCTCTTCATGTGACAGCTATAGTTTGACCTTAGCTAAGATGTTCAGAGTAATTTTACACGTTTTAGGGGTTTAGATCAATTTCGGTGAAAGTGCCTCAATGATAATAGATATACAGGAAGTAAGGAATTAAAGCTCTCAATGTCGAAAAATCGACCCCATCTAACTTATGATTTTTCTTTTAAATATCTCCTATATTAACGTAAAATGTCTTTTCGTTCCGCAGACATGATCTCCGTTTCCTCCGCAAACCGGCACCCGCCATTTCCGAGTTTCAAAGTTTTTCGCAGAGCCAATATTTTTCATGCGGTTGACATCTGCCACGAATCAAAAACGGAAAACACTACGGTTTGCGGCAGGGGGGTGACGTCAACATCCTAGCCAAAATCTTCTCATAACCGGACACAGAGATAGAACAGTATCAAGATGCGCCTCAAGAAGCTGTACCAAATTATCAGGTTCCCGTGTAAGGAACGACAACTCTGGGTAGAAATCCTCTTACTGCTGAGAGCGCGGCAAAAGTTTTATGCAAGAGAGATAACTCTTACATTAAAGATGTGAAAAGATTTGAATATGTTTTAAAATTTCAAAAAAGCCGAAGTCCATGCCCCGACGTGTGTATGATCGTTTTATGTTACCTGATACTTAAGATGATCTGTCGGTACAATTTCTGTTCTTCCTCGATATCATTTCATTAACTAGTCGAAGTGCACAAAATAAAACAAAATTCAATTTAGAGTTTTTTTTATTCCTTATAATCACCCATTTCTATCTAGTAAATAAGTGACGTCAACTACATCGGGATGAACAGGAAATAAACAGTAAAATATATTCATTTTTATGAAATTCGACATAACACCAATGAGTGAGTCATAAACACTGTTAACAATTACATCTACCAAGAGCGCTGAGAGGTGTTTGATACTAGGCTATATTCAGTGATTCTAAGACGATTGATATGCAAACATTTATGTTCAGCTGCTGTAATATTCTCGTCTGCGAGTGTCATCTTTATGATATCACAGACCTGTACCTGAGTTACCGGGTTCTGATCGTCTGCTTTGAAAACGGAAGAAGATTGTTAAAAGGCGTATAGCTTATGTTGAACTTTGACCCTGGATATGACCCCTTTTATCACCCCGGTGGTCTAACGTGAACAATTTATGAAGTGCATACTTTTACCAAACTTTAAATGAAACATTAAATATCTGATACTGTGAATTGGAGAAGGATAAATGTACATTAAATCCCAACGCCCATTTAAAAGCTAAAGCTATATTCAAACTTCATCACTCGTTTAAGTCCTTTTATGTCTCAAGACAAACAATATATCAATACATTTTGAAATGAATTACTATATCATGTGACAAATAATAGCTAGAGTTTGAAATATAACTCTGTGATAACTTATTTTAAAACTTACCCAAATACCCATAACACTATGGCTGCTTTTGCGTACCCGATTGAAACGGCCCACGTGGCGCAGAAATATTGCGCGATAAACGAACGCACTTGGACCGGACTGTGCCAACGTTTTAGGCGGAGCTAAAAATGCACCGTTTCGAAGATTTGTGACATATAAACGACCATATGTCAAGGATAGTATGTCCTCCTTTCACACCACCACCTAGTTTAATAACAATTTCTAAAATATACATGGTAATCGACCCTGTTTTATACAGAAGTAATGCACCCTAGCAATAGTCGGCATTTTAATTAGTTTCAGCCAGGAACGTGTGGACCCCTCAATAAGCAAGTGTCGAATTCTCCAGAGGTCTGTCTCGGTTCAGTAACATATGAATATAGGTCTTTGGTCCCAAACAAGATTTCAAACTTGACCTCCCAACATGTTATGAACAATATTTTAATTCATTGCATGTCACTAACATATTAGCAAGATCGCGTTAAGGAGATTATTTTCTTTTTAATAAGCTAATCAGAAATTATGGGGGCCATCTTGTGTTTTCGATCAACATAAATTATGTGACGACTTGAAGCTATTATAAATAATAAAAAATTCATTCTCTTAACTGCTACTACTCAAAATGTATGGTAACCAAAATTAACAGGGAACAATGGAAAAATAAACACAATTCTTAAAAGCAATAGGTGCATAGAGAGCCTTGAATAGAGACATAATCGCACGCTATAAACATATATAGTCACACACTGTCATTTGACAGGCTGCAGAACCCACTCGATCCCACCCTTTTATTTTACCAATATGAACAAACACTATTTACAAACCCTGAAATACCGTACTCTTTGGTTTAGCACCAGACGGTCCTATCTGTGAAGTAGTTCAGGACAATTCTAGTTTGTAATGGCGACCCAACCTGCCTGTTGCCTGTTTTATAGATAGAGTGGATTGGGTTAATAGTGAACTTGAATCAAATAAATGAAATTTGAAAAAAAAAAAAAAAAAAGGCAAATAAATGATGGGATTGTGTTATTTTTGAATGACGTCAAAACATGAAGTACTATAACGGGTTTTTTTTATATTTATTTTTATTTTCAAAAGAGTTTTTTTCAATACAGTGACAATAGTAATGGATCAGTAATTCATTCATATAATAACCTATTTGCCACCAATCATCTTTCATATCAACATTCATACCATACAGATTATGCCAAAAGAAATTTGTATCACTAAAGACTGCATATGGAAAGGTATTAATTCATTTAATATCACACTGTATTGCTATAAGGAAGAAGGAAGGATAAAAGGAGAGAAAGAGAAGCTGGTAAGAAACAAAAAAAGAGAAAGAAGAAAAGATAAAGACAGAGAAGTACTATAACGTACTGTACTTGTATGACCCTAGAATAATCACAATATTTTTGAAAAGTGCGAACAAACACAATCTTCATGTCTCTAGGAACTTAGATTAAAGTCTACATGGCTCAGATAAATTCCATACACATGGTACTTATTTCATGAAACTCCAAATCCAACAAATCAAGCGTACTGGGAAATACGTTTAACGGGAGTTGATGGGTTCTATAAAATGTCACTTCGAATTACTTCATGCATTGTTATTAACCAGTTTTCTTTTCCATCATCATGCTTAAAATTTCGTTTCTATGGAGACGATGACCACGCGATGCTGGATCTAGCGGTGTTCTCTAAGGTGGCCACCGTCTCCAGACAGGAAGTTGAGCCAACCATTGGAGAGAGCCGTGCTGTCGGTATCCGGATCTGACGTAATAGAGGGTGAAGACTTTTGGGGTGTTTCATTTTCCAGAGGGCTGATAGCATTCTTCTTTTTCCAAGGAGAACCTATTACTGCAAAATAAACATTAGGGTATAAATATAAGCGTCGATTATTGTGATAACATTATCGATCCTGTATCGAGGGCATATTGAATTTACCGGCAAAGAATGTCGAGGAGATTACATTAAAGCCGTTCACTTAAATGCCAGACAGACCTTCCTACATCATTATAGTATAGTGCTTATATTGAATAGTACCGGTGTATGTCTTGTCTTGCACATGCTCTAAACATATATACCAAATAACTATATAGTAGACGTCTTAATAAATGTATTATGACCTATATGTGAAACACTGATTGTCTCAAACTGTTTCCTCGATTTGTTTCATGAATTAGTCTCCCTGTCATGTCCTATAAACAATGTGTCGGACGTAATGATATCTGTGGAATGATATTACTATACATGTACAGATGATTCTAAGATCTAGGCGCCACTACGGCAGTTTGATTGAGTTATACTACATGATATCAAATCAATGAAATTATAAATGACAAATTCGAATAACAGACCTCCACCCCCGCCTCCTCCGCCCCCTCCGAACACTGTGAATGGAGGAGCGCCACCCTCGGGCGAGCTGTCCCCAGGAGAACCGTTCTCGTTGTCCAACAGGTTTCCCTTCCATGCAGCCCCTCCAGTGGGACTTCCACCTATCGTGTTACAACAACACAGTTAACACCATTGTCACACTAGTCTTTAAAAGTATTTCTGAATTCAGTTCTTTTTGAATTTATCAAACTTACTTAAACGTTAACCATCATTTTTGTATTTGTAAATTTTGCTTAAGATCCACATTATTACAGTAACCTTTAAAGATTTGCCATTCCAATCTTGATAATATTGAATATTTATATAACATTTATGCAAGATATAAATCCGACTTACCACCACCGCTCCCACAGTAACAGGCTCCAGCCCCTCCTCCGGGACCCCCGGTCGGCGAACACACAGGGCAGCACGTGGCGAAGCACGTACCACATGAAACACAACATGGGCAGTTCCGGATTCTCGCGCATCTCCAGGGCAACCACCCGGGTCTGCAGCAGCACCAATATAGGATGCTCAAGCCGACGATGAGGCCGAGGACAACGTAGAGAGGGGTAAGGTCTGGGGGCGGGATTGGGGGCGCGGGGGTCGTCGTCGTGGGTTTCGGCTTTTTCGGTTCTGTAATTATAGAGATAGGATGTACACATGGTCCCACACAGGTCGTGTGGTTATAAAAAGAACAGATCTGAAATCGGCTGCTGATGAAATAATAAATATCTAAATAAAATTAAAGTACACTAATCCATATATGCAAGAAAGAAAATAAGACATGCAAATGAAGTCATGCTTAATTTTTTATTTTTTTTGCGGGGCCGCACGAAGAGAGTCTGGAGCAAATCGAATATCAACTGCTTTGAAGTTAATTTAACTCATTTGATGTCTAGTAACATTCCGTAACCAAACCAAGCACACAACTAATTACACACCCAACTTGAAATGTTCATTTGCCCAGGATGCAGCGCAGCGATGACGTATAAATGTACGTAATGATGACGTGTACATGATGTTTTGTCAGCGCACCTATGACGCATATATATATACTTAAAATGACGTGTACATGCTTGTAATGACTGCTTGATCAGGATGTTTCGTCAGCGCAATGATGACGTACATGCATAAGTAATGACGACATTTACTTAAGCAATGAATTATTTAGCAAATGTTGTTATGGTCCTATAATACACATTGCTATTGATGACAAACTTAATAAAGCCCGGTAAGGCTTTATGTAAGCTTGTCAGCAATAGAAATGTGTGTTATAGGACCATAGCAACATTTGCTAAAGCATTGGAACAATGGAAGCATGTAATGTTTGCAATGAAGACGTGTACGTAACCACAAAGGGACGCACGTGTACATCGTACACTATAATTACACACACGTATACCAGTAAAGAATGCTAATAACAATTATCAGACCGACGATTATATAGAAAGGGTTCGGGTCTGTGTGTCGGACAGGGGGTGGGGCAGGGAGCGCGGGGGGCGTCGTCAAAGGGGTAGTTATTTTCGATCCTGTAATTATAGAAATGGTGTGCGTATGCGTAACCATAGAGACGATGTACATGTGTGTAAAGTGTGTGTAATTATACAGAGAAAAACATGTGTATTTGCGAATTATTACACAGAGAGTTAAGTTGTAATTCACGTGCGTTGTGTATTTCCGTGCGAGTTGCGGTCTTTTGATAGACGTCTGCGTCGTTTAATGTATCTGATATTGATTCTAACAGACCAATTAAGAAGAAACTTTTCCTGTTGAATTATGTAGCCCTTTGAGTCTTTGACAGTTCTTGCTGTTATAACTTTCGGGATACATCTAAAGGATGTTACCTCACCATAACTTATCGTCTCAACGTCCGGGATACCCATTGCTGAGTTTGTTTTGACGATCTTGATATTCATATTCTTATGAGAATAATCATTATCAATTCCGGAATACTTACTGCCACAGAGTCCGGGATACTTCTTGCTTACGTCAGACGAGTCTTTGGGGAAGAACTCGTTGAGGCAGTTCTTGGAGTACCAGTAGTCGCACCGGAGAGAGTCGTCCAGACAACGCTTACTTTCGTTACACATGAGCACCACGTCCTCTATCGTGTCGTTACACTCTGAAATATGTAACTATGGTTACAGTGAAATCATTTCTTACATGAAACTGAATCAATCATATATCAAATTGTGTTTACATGCATCTCATACAATACAATAAAAGGAGGGCGTGTTTGGGTATCATATCATTTTTTTTTTTTAAACATGCACGGAGTTTTGTGGATCTCTGAAGAAGAGGCGTTTTATCGTCAAATATGTACATTATTAATAACTAAGCTGATCTCTGATTTGCTAATTAGAAGGTAACCTGTTTGAGTTTTAAAATTCCCCTCGCATTCGGTTCGGGAAACATCGACTGAAAACATAAATAATAAAATACAGTGATGCTTCGTCAGATCAACTTCCTTTATCTAAATAATCGCTTAAATAATTGTACTTCCTGAATATCAAATTTCCAATTATGATTGTCAAGTCCGAATAAAAGATATGATGCGATAATTGGAATAGGATCAATAGTCCAACAAGTCACTTTACCATAACTAAAGGACGTGATGTCGAGCTTGAAGAAGACCTCCGGGTAGTCGAAGTCGTCTACAGGTGTGGTAGCTTGGGGATCTACAGTAGCGGATGGTGGTAACGTCGTCCCGTTACCAAGGGCGGGGTTTCGGTAGTCAAGGTAAAAGTAGAGCGTGATATATTCACCCTGCCACTCATAGGACGGGGCGACAGTGTCCACCCCGCACAGCGTGAAGAACTGGGTGGCCGCCGCCTTATCTTTACCATTGTACATCGTCACGTAAGCCTTCCCACAATCCTTCGGGGTCGTCGAGCCGAGCTTCTTTTTAACCTTTGGGTCATGGATAAGAAATTCCCGCCAATAGATACCCATGTAACGCTTCTCAGGCGGGAAGAGTCCCGGGGTAGCCGGCATACCTCGGACGATGACGGTACATTCCAACAGTTGACCCTTGAGCTGTTCTGCAACATTGACCTTGGGTTTAGATTTCTCATTGAAAACCAAGTCCCTGTCGAACTCGAGGTAAGCCCCAAAGTCGGGACCGAGAACATGACCGCACGACTCCGTCACAAAATCTGTGGAATAATAGTACTTTAATAAATGAACCTTTCTGAACAGTTGTTGACATTTTCATTGTGAAATGTTCACGTTAAATACAAAACTGTTAATCCTCATATGTCATACTGTTTGGTACATGTCCATACTGTATAGCACGTTACATACTCTATGGTAAGTAATTTTTCTGGCATTTTAAATCAAACTGTACCGTCGCTATATCATACCTTTAATATAATCCAGCAACTCAATATTAATAACAGTTAATCATAGAATAAAAGAAGTGAAAAAGGTTAATAACTTGGTAAAAACAACGACTCTCAGAAAGTTAACTACCTGCGGAAATAAGCAATTTAGTTGCTTTACCACGTTTTCAAGAGACTGAGAAATCGTAACGCAATGTCTAATGTAAAACGTGATTAAAATCAGGATTGTTCGAACTATTCACGGGATAACAGTACACATATGTATAGCTACTACTGCCTTTGTTCCTCGGTTATCTCCCCTTACAGACGATTAGGATAGGCAAACTTGTGTTATAACTATTTCAGAAAAATGACGCAATGCAATACAGTGTCGTTTTTAGTGGAGAATTAACGACGAGAAGAGAGCTTACGAAGATCGCATTCATGTCAATGGTATCATTAAGGCTAAAAGGACGCCGGTCTTCACTTTCATATAAAAGTACGAAACAAGGAAAGACAAACATAGTACGACCGGCCCAATTTGACTTTGAGAGCAGGACTTCCCCCCGCAATAGGTAAGTCCAAATTGTGTTTATCAAACAATCTTAAAAGAGAATCGACGAGTGATGTTTTAATAAAAAAAAATCAATCTTTTTTAAATAGCAACAAGTTACAATTCAGTTAAAAGCACTTTTTCTAACTTCCACATGTTTACTGTTATTTTCGAGGTATGCGAACAGTTTTGCTTCTCAATCAGATCATGCGTAAAAAAAAAAGGGCATTTTGTATAATCAAGACCAAAGAACAGTTAGTCAATTTAGTGCTACTTAAATCTTCTGATTAAATGGGTTTTTTTCAGTTTGTTAAAAAATATTTCCCCTACATAATAAAACATACATGTAATAAATAAACCTGATTGAACGTTATACCATTCCATACGTACTGTACCCTTCCTGCATTGATAGGACCGTATGATGTGTTTCGAATAAAATAGATTTAGATAAGGTAATGTACTTACATCTTTCATTTCTTCCTTCAATATATGAAATCGGTAACAATATCAAAAGAAGACCGGAAACAAAGAACTCCATTTTCCTTAATGAATCTGGCCCGGTGTGACACGGCCGTCAGGCAGTAACCTATAGCTATCACTTTATAAGTTAAGAACCGCACAAACACTGTTAAACCTATTCGATATGCCTATAAAACACTTTAGTTTGGTACATATCTAGGGGGCCTACAGGAGGGGTTTAATGTTCAAGTAACTTTGTCATTAAAAACGTTATAAGTTTATACACATAAAATAAAGAGTGTATTACAGTGTGCATATTCGAAAATAATTTCCATGTTTTTATTTCTCTATTCTTTTTAGTAAGTTAATTTGATTTGGATTTCCCCCTTATTAACCTCAAGTCACACACCAACAGATGAGATTCGTAATATCGGCGGTTGTAGGAACCTCGGTAGCGAGGCGCTATTCTTTGCTCAGTGAAGAATGCGCAATAAAACAAGATGGCGCTGTACCAAGGCGTTCGCCACTAGTGCAGGATCCGTGTCTTAAAGAGCACTCCCTGAAATGGTATTGTGAATATTGATTAACACCTCTTAATACATACAGGATCTTTAAAATACCACAAACGGCGATACAGGCCGTGATGGAGACGAATGCAAGTGACACATCAGCTCGAGAGGTTATCGTAAAACATAGATATTCGATGCTTTGCCGTCCGATATATGTTTAATCCTATAACTGGGATACAATGTTGCAATCCTCCTAAAGTCGCATTGTGTGGGCGGAAATAAACACATTTATATACGTTCGTTCATTCACCTTAGTATCCTGCATTTTGTTTGTGTAATTTGTAACAACGTAAATCACACTTCATTTGTAGTCACTATAACTTCAGGTTTGAGCATTGCTTTATTTCTTCGAAGATAACGCCATTCCGTCTTTGCGTATTGCAGAGTTATCTTCTCTTGGGAGCAGGTATTGATTGTTACGTCACTTGTTTGTGAGAGAAACGTCATCAATTTTTGAGAAAACGACGTAATTTTCTCACACAGACCAATGACGTAACAATCAATACCTGCTCCTAAGAGAAGATAACTCTGCAATACGCAAAGACGGAATACTCATTGTAATGGAGATTCGAAAACAAGTCAATGGTCAGTTTTAACGATGTATTATGAATAAGAATCGGTAAACAAGAAGGGTGTTTATATATCATCTAGCTCACGTGATATGTTCAAACCACCAAACCACCGTGAATGGCCCGATATTTTGTTGACGGAATTCCCATATAATTATTTAATTAATATTAATTCGAAGCATTATTAACAATGTTTTACTGGTTGAATGGTTAACTAATACGGTTAGTGCGAAATACCAGTATGACGCAAGTTCATAGCTTCAAAATATCTCGATGGGTTGAAGCAAGCTGTCTCAGGTATATGCTATAGCAATCAGTGGACACAGAACTACTCTTTTTTCACGATATGGACGAAACAGATAAATAAAGGCGTTAGGTTTGTATCACATAAACGACGCCATAGTTTATTAGCTTTGACACAGCTACTTACGACGGGCTCAGACTTAGTGAAAAACTTATTCATCGCACGCTCTTTTGAATTTTAAGTCCCTGTTGGTACTTAAGGAAAGTTCAGAACTTCTGTGGTGCTGGCAAAGTTGTGTTGAATAAATTAATCTTGTGAACACTCCTACTTGTAACGAGTAAGTTTATCATGGTTTTTTTAAATTAACACTCTTAACAATCAGTAAAACGTAGAACGTGTGTGTTAAATTATGATCTGATTATAATAATGGAAATATATGTTTGTGTCAAAGCGTAGTTCTCTATTGTCCCGCCGCATACGAGCGTAGTCCACAGGGTGCAATTTGTTGAACAAGTAGTAGCGAGTGTTGTTTAAAGCCCTTTGAAATTTACTGAGTAAGATAGAAAAGCGAACTAAAAGAGCAGATTAAGTCCGCATCAATACGTATTAGTTCTTTTTCATTAGTGACGCATGCAAATCTTGAATTAAATTTGTTGACACACCCCAATCGATGTTGTCCTTGGTCATCTTTCTGATTGATACGTTGTATTATTTATTGTCATCATGGCCGACATCAACAAAGGGTAAACTGAACTTAATGAGTATTGGTATTAAGCGGGCGTGGGATCGCATACACATGTATTGTCCGACTCTTGTCAATAACCATGCATATAATAGTCAATCATATACTAATGGACACGATGAGAACGTGCTTTGAATCAAATTTTAGGTCTAAACAATCTAAGACCTATTATAACATATTGAAAATCTTAGGTACAGTCTTAGTGTTGCTTTGATTCACTAGCCGAAACCTCGTGTGACTTGTCATAAACTGCGTCACACTTGCTGTCAAAAGACACGGTTTTAAAAACAATGTATGCGGTCTCACATCTATAAGTCGGTCTTATCTACACAGTCGAGATATAGTGTTATAAGAACCATCCTAAGGATCGTACGCCCACAGATAGTGGTGACGATATAATGGCAATTTCTCTTGTCCAACTGATCTGGATTGTCTGTATATTTGGACTGATCGATGGAGACCAAAACAGTCGGCACCGGAAGTCAGGTATTTATGTCAAGCTATCTGATATACAGTCATGTATGTTTATATATATATGAAACTTCTATTATAGGTTAATATAGCAAACACATATTCGACCCAGAAGATCATTAAACTACATGTAAGTTGTCGGGAAAGTATTTTTTCCAATGCATTGTAATTAAACTAACTTACATACCGGAAGTCTACATCAACAGACTTCAGTGAGACAGTTTCCTTTACGAAAATTGATACACATATACAAAGGACTTAGGAGGACCGAGTACAATATTTTATAACTTTAAGCGTATGATAACGAAGTATAAAACGCAAGTTATTTAGCATAAATCCCAGGGGCCTAAACAGTCAAACGGGAATCATATTCTAAATGCTGTAGCTAGAGTTTGGGAGTTTGGGACACAGTTTAAATCTGTTTGGTAAAAAGGTTGATATCCCACAGACTAACGTTAGTTGTACAAAACTGTATGTCTGAATTCATACCAAACTGTAAGGTTATCGGTTATTATAGTGTCGTAGAATGTAAAAGCAGGAAGATTTCAGCATATTCCAACTTTATGTTAAAATGCGACAGTGGATAGTTGGCTGGCTGACAGCTTGTATTTGGGTGTCCATTTTGGACTGCAGATAGGCACATACACAAAGAACACTTAGCAAAATAATGATAAAGGACATTTGTAGAAAGATTAGAGTCAAAAGCTGTATCAGTTCTTTACAATTATTTGAAAATGTTTCAGTCGATCTGTGCCCGTGGTGGCCATTTTGAATTTTGGATTGGCCAAAAAAGTAAAGATATTTTGTTAGAATTTTATAAGGTTCAAAGTTTGTTGTCAATAACTGTAACTGTTATTGAGAAGAAGTCAGAAATGTATTAGACAATCGGAGGTCATGTTGAATTCTGGAATTCAGATCGGTCCAAAAAATCAGAGCACTTTGCGAGGACCTCATAAAGAACGTCCGTACCAAGTGTGTAGTCCATAGCAAAAGCAGTTCCTGAAATGGAGGTGAAAATGTCTCAGCCAATTAGAGACAAGGGTGGCCATCTTTACGTTTGGATCAACACAAAAAGTAAGAGCAATTAGCCAAGACCTTACGAGGAGCATTTTAACTTAGTCTGGAGTAAATAGCTACAACAGGTCTGAGAAGAAGTTGAAACTGCTTCGGCCAATCAGAGCCCAGGACGGCCATATATCGTTTCTAAAACGAAAAATATGGACACTTGGTCAGGACCATCAGTCAATTACACATATCAAGTTTCAGTTGAATCGGTCCGTTAGAAAGTGACTTTCAGTTTGAAAAGGTTACAAAATGTCGGATGTAGCGGCAATACCGGATTTCCGATGACGGCTTGAGTGACTTACAAATAAAATAAAACAAACAATTATAAACTGAATAATACCAATAGCTGGCGGCTAACGCCTTAGCTAAAAATGATCTGCAATATATCGTCATTGGTGAAAGGAACAATTCAAACGTTCGCTGTACATTTTAACTTACAAATTGAAGATCACCTCGTTATTTTATATCTACAGAGTACATTGAGGATCACTGCAGTCAAAGGATCAAACTGCCCTTGTTTCAGAGACTTGCGTTGACACGTGACGTATTCTACAAGGATGGCTGGCGCTGTGATGTCACATTGGAGGCGGAGGCTAATCACGTGGTGTCAATCTCTTTCAAAAAGTTTGATATTGGTCGCTCCAAACTAAAAGTATGTAAGGATGTTCTTCGGATATATGATGGTAAGCTGTATAGTTTAAGGGGAGTCTGCACTGTAGACAGACCGGAAGTCATATTTTGGTAAAGCTAAATATTCATGTACCGGAAGTTGGCCGGGTTTTGTGTGCGCGCAAAAATACTGATGCACGGTCATTTAAACAAATACAAGAGTGTCAATAGTTTATGCCATCTTACATGTTTGCTTATGTGTGTTTTCAGGTGATAGCATCAAATCATCAGAAATGACGTCAGCCAAAGGTCTTTGTGGTCAGCTGATTCCAAAACAGTTCGTGTCTAGCACTAAAACAATGACCCTCAAATTTAAAAGTCGATATCTTACGGCCAGCGCTGGGTTCACCGTAGAAGTCACATCATTTGGAGGTACAGCTCAGCGGTCAGTCAATTAGACTTCGGGGAGCGGCTCAGCCAACCCATAGTCTGTCCCTTCTAGGACTAGTTATACTGCTATAAGGTTATACTATACGTGTCTGTACTGTTTAGCTTATACATTTTAATGATATACGGACAATCAAAACAGTCAACGTTTTATCATACTAAAGCTGTGAATTATTTATATTTGTTATACAGCTTAATTTGATTGATCAGTTCGTTGAAATTGTATTGTCTAGTCTGGACCAACCAGCCTCTCGTTTGCAACACGATGCTACGTCTAATTGCCTTGCCGAACCAACGAGAGCTTGCTTGGTCTAGCAGATTCATTGTAGACATTTCCTGATTCAAATTGTCCTCTGTTTCAGTCTTTAAAGAGAACTCAGATTCCGGGGCGTGTCCAAACAACAGCTTCCGTTGCATGGACACTTTTTGCCTAGACCGAAGTTTGGTGTGTGACGGTGTGCCGAACTGCCGCGACAAATCAGACGAGTCTGCGCAACTTGCGGGTTGTCAAGGTAACGTATGGCTCTGTTACATGATTCCTCGTCTGATTGATCGTGTCCACAATAGTATTTGTTTGCTCTTATTGTGAGTTTGTTTGGGGTTTAACCTCCTCGCAACAGCCAGGGTCATATCAGGACGGGTGCCTAGGGAGACAGCACCGGAAATGGAAAGTAGATAGGAAAGCTCTAGCAACAGATCAGCTTTTGGTCTCTTCCATGTCCCGGTCCTCTTGGAAGAAGACACCAAAAAAAATCCCCGATTCTGCAGGAGGTCAAACATGAGTTACCTTTTAAAACCACATGCTGCAGGGGCCCCCTCATTTATTACTTCTTACGATCATGCCGTGGGATACAGCAGATTTATTCACAATTAAAGCAATATATACTGTGTCTATGACGATTTGCGCATACAATCAAAGATCGTATTGAAGGAATATTGACGAATTAATAATGTCAATTGTTTTAACGTCTTCAAAATAATCGGCGTTTTTGCTGCACCTTGAATAACTGGTAAACATCTGACCGGCTGAGTGTGTATATAGTTGTTGCTTATGTATTTGAGAGATTATAAGCTGGGTTTGTGTGATATGATCGTGGTATTATTGTTTATATTCAGGTTTTAATGCCGGCTTGATAGACTTGAGCGTTGGAGCTAGGGTAGGTATATTTGTCGCAGTTGCCCTTCTTCTCATTGGGATGTGTTGGACGATAGTGTACTGTTTCTGTGGTTCCTCGTCAGCGAAAACTGTGTATGTTCCTTACAAAAAGATTTAGACTGAACATTTTGCACGTCAATGTGTTTGCCGTGGACCCAACTTGGAATGATATCAAAGATGTGATAAAAAAAACCTATAAGATCACGAACCTTATACAGATTCATCGGCCGATCCAGCACGACCAATTTACAAGGGTCCGGCCCTACCAGTGGTAGAACTAACAAAATCAAGCAGGGATTAACGATATCGTATGATATAATTAACCTGCATTGTTCATTAATGAACAATTTTTTAAGACTGAATTATTTACAACTGGAAATATGAAAACTGGTAAATAATATATATCTAAATGTATTTTTTTGTTTATAACAATATTCATTTGTGTTGTTGATATGGATATATATGCGTAAAATCTTTGTCCGTCATTTTCCTAATTAATCCGAGTTGTTTTCGTAAAGAATTTCCTAAGTTGATGAGGAACGTTCTTAAAACTAGGGACTATTATTTCAGTCGAGTTTCCATCTTGGTTTATCTAATATACTAATCCTGATGGACAAAAGCATGCGGTCTCAATCCAGTTATTACACGATTCATTAGTATATCAATTTTTTTATTTATTTTTTATTTGTTAACACATTATAAGAAAATATATTACAGAATCAACATTGAAATACAAAATATACCTCAGAGCAATACAACAGGGCGAAACATACCTTAATGTAAATACAAAAGGACATCTATATCAAATTGTTAGAACCCTGTTTTGTAATAAAAAATGAGTGCATTAGTGAATATATTATCCAAGCACAAAAACCCCCATTGCTGAGGGTACCAGTTGATTTCAGTAACCCATTGCTGAGGGTACCAGTTGACTTCAGTAACCCATTGCTGAGGGTACCAGTTGAGTTCAGTGACCCATTGCTGAGGGTACCAGTTGACTTCAGTGACCCATTGCTGAGGGTACCAGTTGACTTCAGTAACCCATTGCTGAGGGTACCAGTTGACTTCAGTAATCCATTACTGAGGGTACCAGTTGACTTCAGTAACCCATTGCTGAGGGTACCAGTTGACTTCAGTAACCCATTACTGAGGGTACCAGTTGACTTCAGTAAGAGCATGCTGTTAAGGAGCGGATTGTATATTATCAAAACATATATCATATGAAAATTTTCGTCTGTGATTGATTCGATCTATAATTTATTGTAATGAATACGTTCAGAGAATGTCTGTTACATGTAGAAACATATAATTCCTGCCATAACTGTTACATCGTAATGTTCATGTATCTTCAATGTAACAATAAAATGTTTTATCACCTGACTGCTATGTTGTGGTGGTGTTTTGTGTGTGTGTGTGTGTGTGGTGTATGTGTGTGTGTGTGTGTGTGTGTGTGTGTGGTGTGTGTGTGGGGTTTAACACCAAAAGTCATATGTACGCGTCATATAAATATGCATGTATACTTGAATTGGGGCGGTGTGTTGGTGGATCTGATGCCCAGCAGTTTTCCATCCGGTTACTATAATCAATTATACAGGGAATACCCCATGGATCTGTGTGTAGGTATGGCCAGGGTATGGAAACTCGACCCTTTGCTGTAGACATTGACCGTTTTCGTTTAACGCGATGCAAACGATTGAACCAGTTGGACCAGAGTTGTTTGTTTATGAAATAAGGTCGGACCTAGTAAATATAATGTGATGGTGCTTTCAGGCGAGCCTTGACAAAGCCTTGCAAGGCCTGCATACACACCTGCAGGTTGACCAGGGTTATAACTAACAGACCTGTGATGTTGTGGTAAAATTGTGGCATTGTATTAGAGACAATAGCAATGACGTGATCAATGAAACGTTGAAGACTTGATTGACCATGATCAGAGAAAACGTTTCATGAATATTCATATACATTAGTTTAGTATTATGATAAAGGGGATCTTGACTTCGTTTTCATTTCATGAGATTGATGAAGCTCCCCCCGAAGTTTTCTCTTTAGCTCGACAGAGCCTACTTACAGTATACATGTATAAGCAGCGATATTTGTTCGTGTTGATAAATTAGAATAGCAATATTGTATTGTGTAAATGTGATCTGCCGAAATTTTGTTAAATTATTATTATCCATCGACACATAAGAGGCCAAGAACTGGTCAATAAAATCAAAACTAAAAGGAAAATGACATCAAAAAAACGAAGGTAAAAGATAAAGTGTTCTTGAATATTCAAATTGGCTATGTTGACATATATTTTGGAACAGACTACCATGTACAGTTTCCAGATAGCTTAAACATTGTCAGCACCTATTGTTTCAAAAAGAAATTTAAGACATGTAACATTAGTAGACATATCCACGAGTTGGCTGCAGGTCTACACAATCTGATAACAAGTGTTTTACTTAAGATGGTTCCCGACATGCTATGCATGGGCTGGTCTTCCACTTTCAATAAATAACAATGGGTTATGTATGAATATCCCGTTCAGAGACCGACAAGGACAACCTGGTCTCGGCGCTGTCCTCTGTAGCTAGGACACCTATCACCAATTGACCAGAACCGTTAAACTATGATGTAAATCTGAACAGAAGGAGAAGGATTTTAGAGATTAACATGTATTTGCCTTACTGTGCCCCATCCCTCTGCTACCCCATGGGGTCCACACACTCCGATTGTACAACATCGATCCCCTTGGTCAAGATCACATTCAGTCAATATCCATTCAACCGTTCTTGATTAGTAGCATTTTAAAGTCACAGTTGACTAAAGAAAGACGGACTTAGTGACATAGCATCAGGTCACATGGCCCTTCTCTTCAGGCCGTGTCAGATAAAGGCATAATATAGAAATACTTTATCGACTGAACGTAACAAAATGCTCAGAAAATAATAACACAAATGGTACAAACGAACAATCACCACAAATTACAATCTTTCAACATCTTTATTACAGAAAATTAATTTACATTTCATTTTTTCAATGTATGCTTTAACAAATAGCTAGCACTAAGATAGAGTGATTTTTATGTACAAATGTTATCAAAATATCACATATTACATACATGAGTTTTGGACAGAACATGATTATTAATGAACACACAAATCTTTTATGTGTCATGGACGATGACTTCAAATTGTTCATGCATTTTTCTGCTTTTTTAATGCTGAAGAGTTCCTTGGAAACCACAGAAGCACCGAAATTGTAGCATTCTACCTAGTATGGTTTTCTTAATGACCTACTGACCTTTGTAAGTATCCTGTAGTCAGACTTCCTTAATTAATCCTGTAACGACTTAAGTAAGCATCTATCTAATCACCAATCTACCTGAAAGCTAGTTTATAATCATAGTCTATGCACAAGATATTCCTGGTCATCCTATTCCCTAGGTTAAGTTAGCCTTTAGATACAGAAACTATATATGTACTTGGCCGAATAAACACAGAATTCAATATGAACCTGAAAATAATACGTACTCTTGTAATTGATACAGACATGGTTGCCATGGTGATTAGGAATTACCATGGTGACAATGAGTGTTACCGAGGTTATGAGGGTAGTTAGTGGGGTACAGAGCTGATGGACAGGTAGACTTACCAGTATTATTGCACATTGTTGACAAATAGTGAGATGAAAGTTTGATGCAATACATATACAGCATGAAACATGAGCTGAGTTCATATTTACAAATTTTGTTCCCCAAGAACTATACCAAGAGCAAAAATCCATACTAGCATCTTTATACTAATGTACGAAACACCAGCTCATAGTTAAAAAAATGTTAGGTATCCACAGAAATCTTCCTTTCCATTAATGAGGGAAGCAGAATTAAAATTACAAGAATGTGTTTCTGACTGCTAATTCAATTCTGGTTTTGTTCTACTCCTTGAAGCTTCTACTAAGTATGCTATAAGCCATTAGTTTTTACAGCTAGATATACATTTTTTTTTTAACATAACAAATTCAGCAAAGAACTTCCTGAGTATAGAAAACTTCTCTTTAGAAACAAATTTATCGTTTTCTTAAATATCAATATTAAATCAAACTAAAGTTTTGTAGTATCTTGCATAAACCTAAAATATCAATTGGTAATTGACCTGTAGTTTGTTTGTCACATGGTGTAATTTATATCTGCTGTGTATGAACACTAATTATAATTAACACATACACACCTCGTTAATCCAAAGTCTTCAATTTTTCGATTAAAAGAATTCAAGATTTTCAAGATTAATCAAGTAGATCATTTAACAGTAATAGATATCTAACTAATTTCCCAATCACAATTTATACAGATTTCCCCGTAAATATCGCTATAGTTATCTGCCAACCAACCAATTAGAGCAGACAGAAACCAGAGTTTGTACATGTATTTTACAACCTGACACAATTGTTTGCTGTTCCTCCGAGACAGGAGATTATTGTTTCTGCAATGGATAATCTGTACGTACCATAATCAAATATATCACTACATGTACTGTAATATCAACAACACAATACCAGTGTTGGCACAAAGATGGAAGCAGGTTATCACTCAGGTTCGCAACCGTGACAAGGAAGACTAAATATATATACTGGTATTGTCAAAACAGCAAGTACACTTGTACTCAAAATTAAACCTAACATACAGAGCTTTTGAAGAAAGATTTCAAAAAAATTCATTTAACAATGTTGATGTCAAACATGAAATTCCTCCATACAGTTACACAAGTTCAGATCAACACAAACATTTACTGTAAATGTCTGGATTTTCATGTAGATCTTATTTTCCTAACATTCATGGTAATCATTTTTTCTGCAAAGATTAAATTACACAAAAAAATAAAAGAAATGCATGCACTGTCACCAAAGCAGCATCAAGTATTTACTTTTTGAAATATTGATAGATATATTTGGGAAATTTGTCCATTTCAGTAGAAGCATAAAAATTCAGACCTGTGAAAATAGACACTGGTACATAATGTTTATCGGTATATCCTGTATGTTACCTTGGTAAGACTTGGCAGACTGGCCCCAGGATCACTTAATTATCCAGTATTGTAGCATAGTTGAATTATATATAGACATGTATATGGATGTATTGTTACTGACCAATGAAATGTTGGCTTCAAAGTTAGACTGTTTCATGATCCTGGGGACTGGTAGGTAGTTAACAATTATAAGAACCAAAACTATAAACAATTTCTTTTTTTAGTTGACCATTTACAATCTCAGAAGATATGACCCTTACATTAAAAATCTAATTGATACGAAAAGAAATTCATCTTGTCTACTCAATGGCATTGTGGTTTCTGAGTGTGATTGAAATACATAACAATGTGAACCTAGTGTAATAAAAGTCTTTGGTATATCTGGTCGTTTATTAGACGTGTGATGGGGAATGATCGGAGTTTTCATGTGTTCATATACAATGACAGCACATAGAAATGAAATGACATTGCTGTACATGTTGTGACAATATTTAAAAAAAAAAATGAGATGGAAATAAATAAGATACAAAAACATAATGACTAAACATGATTTTTGTAGGTGCTGATCAAGCATCAACATTTAAAAAAAATACCTGATAAACTCGTTATCAATTGTTTGTGTGACCAAACCTACCTCCAGACAATTCCTTCTACAGATAGGAACTTGGCTGTACAGGTTTTCTCCAGAAGGAATTAGAAGGTAGATGTAATCAGTCATCTTACTCCAGGTGATGTGTGAAAATTCTTACATCACAAGTTGCTCAACCTCATATCTTTGTGAATCTAACTTATCGAAAGTTACATACTGCCTCACAGACAAGTTATGTAAATCAATATGGAGGTGTGACATGGTGGAAACTCTTTTCGATTACCTCCCTTTGATTCAGTTCTTCAATGATCTATTTTAATTAATCACATATCATATCCAGATGGATTAAACACATAATTTATTGAATTAATTAGTAAATGACCCAATCTTGCAAAGATTTTATTTATTCATCAGAACCAACACTCGTGTAATTACTTACTATCTACTCTAGATGTCGTGGCTACTTTATTTCATTCAGTTGATTAAGTGCTAGTAATGCCTAGGGGGAAGGCATCTTACCAAGGGAGGTAATCTATTAGTTTTCCATAACCACTTCATATTGACATCATCGAAAAATAAGTAAAGTATTCACATATAGATATCGGTTGCAGATAATTTTGCAGTAATTTTTCTGTGCCTTTGGTAAAAAAAAAACACTGGTCCCACACAAGACAATTTAATCATTTTTCATTGTGTGTTACACAACTGGAGAAAGAATAACCTTACCAAGTTGATCAGTAATAAAGATATCTGTTGAACAATAAATATATTATCAGATCTATTTGTCCAGTTGAATCTCTTGACATAGGAGTTGCCTCCCCTCTGAGGCCTAAACCCCATTCTACACAAGATAAGTGTGGTCCTTTGGGTATGTCTGCACATGTGTATTGGCCTCTGACCTCTGTGGCCACAGGAGGTTAAGTCTTGTGAAGAGGTGTAATTTCATGATCCAATTATTGGAAAATTGAGCGATAACCTCTTGACTTCAGACCACTTTCTTTTCCAGGGTTAATGTAACAGACTTTTATTGTCTGTTTACATTAATTCAGCTCCTGAATTCTGACCACTGTTGATGTCAAATCAGATTCCATTGATCTCAGCTGGTAGCGAAGTCTGATCACAGCAGGTGCTGAAGGGCAGTGTCTTGTTTTCTTGTGAATGACTTTGATCCAGCTCACATTGAAAGACTACCAGGTAGTTAGTGAACAGTAAAGTCCTTCAGCTAGTGTCATACCTGTAACATTGACAGTAAATACTGTTACCATAAAAAACCTGTGTAGTTTGTGCACCTATGTAATTTGCACAGGTAACAAGTTGAATGATGGTGACTTAATTAAGATCAGTTCAATAGGTTATCAATTTGAAAATCACTAAATACTTTGGTAACTTCAACCTTTTAATTAATTTAACAAGATATTAACTTAAATATACTGGGAAACTTTGCGCTTTCACTGGTGAGATACATGTGTTGATTTTGTATAACGGAGGGAGAAAAAGGCAAAACTTGAGGGAGAAAAAGGCAAAACTTAAACTGCAGTGAAAATTTCACAGTATACGTACATTACCGCAAAAGGTTTAAAAATGTACAAGTACTGCATGAAATTGAACAAGATTTCTTTGTTTAATTGAAAATTAAAAAAAAAAATCTTTCTAATAAGGGAAATAAATCTAAAGAAATGGGTGATAAGTGAGTAATACATACGTCCGTACTGACAGGTTCGTTACTACTGGTGTTGGACAGAATCAGTTTGGCTTGTGGATGGTTGATGTAATGTCTGCTGTTTGGTCCGCGCCTTGAAATTTCCAGGCTACCCTGACGATCATTCTCCGACCCTGACAGGTCCGTACCTATTCCACTCTCTGTAATCAATGATAGAGCACATCACAACACTTGGATTTTGTGAGAAATTCATCCTTCTTTGTAACATTGATTTTTTGGTTCTAAATCTAAAATATCAAACATCGTTATTATTATAGCAAACTTTAAGTCACCATATTTCCCAAAAGCATTAAAAATGATTTGAAAACACACTCCAAAAACAAAAATCTTTATATTAAAATAATCAAGTATTGCAGCAGTTTTGAAATTAATTAAAAACAGAAGCTTTGGTACGTTGTCAAGCTAACAAGCCAAAGAACATAGGGTCAAGGTCACTACTTTTGACCAATTGTCAGATTCCATGACAGAAGACTGAGATCGCTGATACTCACCATTAGACATACATGCGATGGACTGACGACTACGCGGACTGTCAGCCATATCGTAGTTTGGGCCGAGGATGCTGAGCATGCCAGAGTGACTACTACTGGAAGACGAGGTACTACTGACGGAGATGATGGAATGGGGACGCTTGTTTCCCTGGCGAAGGTGTTCAAATGATGTCACTGCCACAGAGTTTCTTGTACGAGCTGCAATATAGAAATAAGTAAACAATAAGTCAACAAGTTGATTAGGCTATTTTGCAAGTTTTCTCCTGTCAATTCCCAATCCTGTGATATATTTAAAAAGAAAAATAATTACAGCGTATCAGTAAAAACCACTGAGGAACCTCGCCTCCATAACAAGCCACAGACAAATAAATTCAAAAAATGATAATTGTCATTGCCAATGAACTGAAGATCAGTATTATTATCATTTTCAGATTTGCAAGATGCAATACATTCAAAACAATCTTGGTTTCCAAAACGCATAAAAGGTTACAAAACTATGTCCTCAACAGATACAAACTAATTTTTGGGAAGAATTAACTTTGAAACTTTGCTTAAACAGCAAAAAGCTAAGGTGCATTAACCACTCCAACAACTGTAAGACAGAAGAATATCCCTATTATATATATTTTGGAGTTGATTATGACACACTGACTTACCTCCCCTGTTACCCACAGCATAGTTAAGGAGTCTATCCTGAATGTTGTTAGCACTGGGTTTGATGTCAAGGCATGGCTTGTTCCCAACTCCCATTGACAACATCTCCGTCATGTGGTGCTCTGAGGGGACATTAAAACATGGAGTTTAGAGGATTTCATCCCTCCCAAATTGTATGTTTTAACTGTCTTGGTTTATTGAATAAAATACTGTTTAAGCTCTTAAAATTAACAAGGATACAGTGTACTAACTACTAAAGCACAGGTAATGTGTACAATTTGCCATTAAAATACCAGCACAGTACATTGTTAAATCACAGGCTGTATCATGTAGAGCTTCCCTGATGATGGTTGGGTATAATGTTTATCTAACTAGAGTTGGTTAAAAATTAACTTGCCTATTAGGCCTGACGATCGATATCTTTTTCAAATTGTAAAAGATGCTTGGTTAATTTCGTGCCTTTATGCAATTTGAAAATCAACTAATTAGGGTGAGAAGGGGACATCACAAAGCATTGTTATAATTAGAAGATTGACCAATGAAACTAGAGCACTGACAGGTCAGCAAGGGATCTCTATCCATTAGCAGTTTGTAAGGAAAGTCCACAGTTACCTCTGACAATTTGTTACCTACCCCTATTTTTAAGTGCCTGGTTCCACAGGACGTGGGATATTTCCTTGGTCCACTGGTGACGTACATCAGAGCTAGGTGCCTGTAAGATGTAGTTGTCTCCCAGGGAACGTCTTCGGAACCATATCTCAAACTTGTACCCACTGCCCTCGTACGCCTCTGTCAATCCAACATCTGCCATCTGTAATGGGAATGATAAGTGGTCAATCAAAGTCTATTAATGGCAACAACAAACTCCAGTTTTATATAATATCTCACCGAAATGTTAGGTAAGTTATGGATAAGATGTTACCAAAGGTTTTGCCTGACATGTAAATTGAGCTGTTTCAAAGATCTAGGTGTTGCATTATTTATAAATATATCTACAATATATGTTAACATATGATCCTGATGGACCCAGACTTCTCCGTACCTTGAAGCTGAACTTGTAATTGTATGTATCAGGACTTCCATTACGTCCTCTCTGTGTTTTGCTGAACAGGATTAAGTCCTCAAACAGAAAGACATGCCGCATGGATTTCCGTCTCCCCTGCCACACAAGAAATTCTTCTTGTCTCAACAGACGGCCTTGCTCTTGAAAATTCACATCACAGTCCCGCAGTGAATCCATAGCCAATAGGTCATTACCATGACGGAGCTGGAACTTCACCATCTCCTCCGCAGCCTAAACACAGATGTTATGTGTAAAGAGATTAAACATTAATGTTTGTAGTCAATTGCACTCATCTGATTCGAAGAATCCAATAATAGTATAATCCTGTATTATTGGTTATTACCCTTGACTTTTTTTGTGTTTCAATGGTGTAATGAACACTCCTTATTTACTCTCAAATCAATTTTACATTAGATGGAGAGTTCATGCTTCCCCTTTAACCTTCACCTCTATTCTCACAACGAAAACACTTTCTGATCTTGACATCTGACTTTGACCTCTGAACTGACCTTGAGGTCCTGGTACTCCTGTTCTGTGTTGGGACAGGCCTTCATTATCTGTTTTATGAGGAGGGCGTACTTGCCCATCCTCTGTACGGGCTTGAGAAGGTAGGATGACAGGTCCATCTTATCTCCCAGCTGTAACTGTTTTTCCTGTGTGTAAAAGGTCAAATACAAGGTCAGTGGGCAGTTAAAGACAAATATTACATTGTATATTTTTTATAGTGTGTACATGTAAAAGGCAGACACATTATAGATAGTGGGTGGCCATAAACAAGATGAAGTCATTAAATATAGATATTCATTAGCAGTTTCCATCGATCAAACTTCTTTCCTACAATTGGTATGATAATGCTTACACAACCACAGTATATTACTACCTACGACTCTTTGCCACTAGTGAGTATAGGATTACAGAAGGATGATTAATTTCAGACTTACCCTGAAGAAATATTTCCCATATTCTGCCATCAGGCTGTCTGACTTCGGTTTGTTCTTGTTATAGATAGCATACAGGTAGAACTGACTGGCCTACAATACAAGGTAGATATATCACACAATCTCCTCAACCACACAAATCAATATACAGGTACAATACAATCCGATTTCTCCTAACGGAAAGATCACAAAACCAGTGTATTGCCATTTAGATAACAGTCACAAGTTTGATAACATGAGAAGACAATGAGAAAAATAATAACTCTTATTGCATGCTTTTCAACAGGGTTTCATAATTCTCACATCACCATTTTATAGGGATCATTTTTAATTTTTCATCATAGGTATTAAATGGGCACTTACATGCATGATGAAGTACTGTGCTATCTGGAATGGGTTGTTTGCGCAGAGCTCAACTTCCCGGAGGAACATCTGATGATGGAAATGGTAGATTTTTTCCAGATTTCCGAAGATCACATTTCTCTTGCCTCTAAGGGCCTGCGGTACATCATCCCGTTCCAGCTCTGGGACATATTGTTCAATGATGAATTGGAGCGAGCAGACGTAATCACGCTCCGTTTGTACCATCTCGCGCATCACATGGGCCAGTGTTCTGATTGGTTAGAAAGAAGTCACATGTTGATTTGGACAACTAAGGGACAAAACATTATATCTATACGGTTATTACAGTTGTACAGGTAACTTCACAGAGACTTTTCCTCCCTTGAGTTTGTTTTCTATCGAGTAAATAAAACATTAAATCACAAAATTTGAATTCATCCAATTCATTACAATGATTATGGAATGATTTCATCAGACCAGATTAAATTTATGGTACTCGGAAATAAGCTTTGGCTTACCGTTTTATTTTCTCTGTGCCGGAGAGTTTTAGATCTGCCAGAGATCCCGTCGGAATGCTTCCATTTTGTGAATTGAGGTGAGTGTTTACCGGGACTGGAGTAAAACTCTTTGAAGAAGGGACCAAGACCTCTCCGTTCTCTGGCTCTTCCTCAGGCATACTGGACAGACTGTCTGTACTACTGGTAATCATACTGACTGTTCGGCTGTCGTCCTGTCTACCTGGTTGTCTGTCTGTCCGGCGTGGCTTTGGGTCCTCCTCCTCAATAATTGCTCCACCTGTAAATGGAGGTGCAGTGGAGGTTCTCCGCAGAACTTTCTTAAGGGGTCTGTTGTGAGAGGTGAGGGCACTACCTGGTCCCTCTTCCCCACCACGAGAATCCTGAGGGGTGGGGGCACTCCGTATGCTCCTCTGGGACGAGGTGTCACTGGGACTTGTCAGGTCCTCCCGTGACGACCGCATGGTCGAGTTATTTAATATCTTTGGTATAGAGGTGACCACCCTGTCGGACATGTCCTCTGTTATGAAGGAGGAGTCGCTCTCCCCAAGGAACACCATGTCCTGAGGTGTCAGGTTCGTTGGTGGCAGGATAGGGCTTGTACCACTGCCACAGAAGGACGGAGTACGTTCCGAGCCTGATGATGGCGTACTAGCTGAACAAGGTTGCCACACGGCATTGTCATTGTTTACACTTGGGTGCCTTAACTCAGGCGAGCTAATAACACTAAACTGACCACTCCGCCGCTGGTCAGTCTTTGACGGAGAGGTCTTGGTTTCTAGCACCATTCTGTCTTTGGCTTCTCGAAGGGTGGACTGTCGGGCAGTCAAAAGACTGTGTGTCTCTTCACAACGAGCCCTGGCCACCCGACACTGCTCCATCAACTTCTCGTTGCGGAGTTTCTTTGCGAGGTCCATCATGCTGATGAATGTCTCCTCCTTCATCATTGGATGGTCGCGAAGGTAGACTTGGAGGCTTCGCAGCAACTTGTCCAGACCCTCAATAGTGCTGCAGTGCTCCATCTTCATACTTGCCACGTACTTCATGGCGTCTAGAGCCCATTCATACGTCTGCAAACACAAAAACATAACATCAATATTTACCTCATCATCAATAGGGCAATTCATTCATCTGCAAACACAAAAACATAGCATTTACTATATTTCTGCTAGAAACAAACTATCTATTTTTATCTCTTCTTTTTCAATACACTTTATCAATATCTTCAAAATTTGATATTTTATTACTTTGGTACCTTAAATCTAAGCAGACAGAAAATCTGAAGATGCTGCATTTAAACCAAAACTCATACCCAACATCTGATATTAGTGTTCATCACACTACAAACAATTCAAACACATAGTAATATATTTTTTAAGAATTTTTTTTTCCCATCTAATGGTTTTTACTTTGTAAATCCAAACAGTGAAGACAGTGTAAAGAATCGGTTCTTCAACTAAACCTTCCTTTACAACCTAAACATCCCTTATCTTAGGGTTCCTTAACAAACTAAACCTTCCTTTACAACCTATACATCCCTTAAATATCTTAGGGTTCCTTAACAAACTAACCCTCATTTACAACCTATACATCCCTTATCTTAGGGTTCCTTAACAAACTAACCCTCATTTACAACCTATACATCCCTTATCTCAGGGTTCCTTTACATCAGGGTTCATTATGATGCAGTCTAACCATGTTTGGGGTGACACTAAATTTTGACCGTAGGGCATGATACCTGAGTATGTGACACTGTCCCATGATACCTTAGTATGTGACAACGTCCCTTGATACCTGAGTATGTGACAACGTCCCTTGATACCTGAGTATGTGACACCGTCCCTTGATACCTGAGTATGTGACAACGTCCCTTGACACCTGAGTATGTGACACTGTCCCATGATACCTTAGTATGTGACAACGTCCCTTGATACCTGAGTATGTGACACCGTCCTTTGATACCTGAGTATGTGACACTGTCCCATGATACCTGAGTATGTGACACCATCCTTTGATACCTGAGTATGTGACAACGTCCCTTGACACCTGAGTATGTGACACTGTCCTTTGATACCTGAGTATGTGACAACGTCCCTTGATACCTGAGTATGTGACACCGTCCTTTGATACCTGAGTATGTGACACCGTCCCTTGATACCTGAGTATGTGACACCGTCCTTTGATACCTGAGTATGTGACACTGTCCCATGATACCTGAGTATGTGACACCATCCTTTGATACCTGAGTATGTGACACCGTCCTTTGATACCTGAGTATGTGACACTGTCCCATGATACCTGAGTATGTGACACCATCCTTTGATACCTGAGTATGTGACACTGTCCCATGATACCTGAGTATGTGACACTGTCCCATGATACCTGAGTATGTGACACCATCCTTTGATACCTGAGTATGTGAAACCATCCTTTGATACCTGAGTATGTGACACTGTCCCATGATACCTGAGTATGTGACACCATCCCATGATACCTGAGTATGTGACACTGTCCCATGATACCTGAGTATGTGACACTGTCCCATGATACCTGAGTATGTGACACAGTCCCATGATACCTGAGTATGTTACACTGTCCCATGATACCTGAGTATGTTACACTGTCCTTTGATACCTGAGTATGTGACACCATCCTTTGACACCTGAGTATGTGACCTGACCCTTTGAAACCTGAGTATGTGTCACCATCCTTTGATACCTAAGTATGTGACACTGTCCCCTGATAACTGAGGATGTGACACCGTCCCATGATCCCTGAGTATGTGACACAGTCCAATGATACCTGAGTATCTGCCACTGTCCCATGATAACTGAGTATGTGACACCATCATTTGATCCCTGAGTATGTTACACTGTCCCATGATAACTGAGTATGTGACACCGTACCATGATACCTGAGTCTGTGACACTGTCCCATGCTCCCTGAGTATGTGACACCGTACCATGATACCTGAGTCTGTGACACTGTCCCATGCTACCTGAGTATGTGACTCTTTCCCATGATACCTGAGTATGTGACACCGTCCTTTGATCCATAAGTATAGCAAGTTTGGTGAATACAAAGGTTCAGATAAAATGTAGTTGATGTCTAGTCAGACCAGGCCATACCATACCTGGGTAATAGGTCTCGGCATACACAGGCGAAGGAAATTGTAATGGAAAAGAATCCAATAATGATTTATAAAATTTCTTTTGGGTTGGAGAAACAAATTTAAAAAACATTTCAAACACAATATATTCGCCATTGGAGGTTCATGATACAAGAGAATTTTAAGCAGTGTTCCTTATAGCGTGTAATGTCAATTTTAACAAATCCCACTACAGATGTACAGGTACAATGTGTGATCTCAAACCCATTCTTGTGCTGTATCGTTTGATTAACAGTTATACTGCTATAAACCAATGCAGCTCAAAACCCCAAAGGGTTATATTTTGAAAAACAAGTGAAAAATGAGCACACATTGACAAATATCATACTCCTATTTCAACCCATTATTTGTGTAATCTCACGGAAATAAAATTCTCATATAACAAGATCAACCCTCCTGGGCAAAGTTTTACAAGAAATCAATATTCTCCCGCCTCCAAACAGACTTTGGTATGAAAAGCAAACAACAAAGGGCCATAACTCTGTATATAAGGAGCTATGATATCTTCCCGCAGTATTTAAAACACCACCATCACTTGAGGTACTTATGCACAAAATTTGGTAATTGTAGTTGACAAGAGTATACAAGATAGATATCGGACAAAGTTAGGCTCTTTGGTAATTGTAGTTGACAAGAGTATACAAGATAGATATCGGACAAAGTTAGGTTCTGACGGTGTGACAGAGATATCAACATTCTTGTATAAACCTTTACATAACAACACTATCTTAATATCAATTCTCATGTAACGATATCAAACTTCAAGGAATGATATTAGCTCCTCAAGGAATCAAATAGTCGATGTTGATATACCAGCCAGACAAGAGGTTTTAGAACTATATTGATACAAATAAGCAGACAGACCTGTGGTGTGATATCAGGCAATCTGTCTGCAAACGTGCTGTGAGGAATGACACCGATGTTAGAGAGAAAAGTAAACCTGCTTAAACATCTTACATCTGACCAATATCCCCCAGACAGATCAATGAAAAAAGCAACCAACATCATAAATGTCTCAAAAAACAGCCAGCTTCCACACTTCTGTCATTATAACTATGAAAGTGATACGCTGACAGCAAAAGCGATACACTGACAGCTTTAGAATTTTAAATATTGAGAATATTTTTAGAAAATTGTTTTCAAAAAATATGAATCACCAATGCTCTTTTAACTAAGATTCAAAATAACTTAAGATCATTACGCCATTTTACTCTATACAGAAATGATTTAAAAAAATCATTACGCCACTTTCCATAGTTAACATTTAACCGTAAAATCTTTGAATATGAGATCTCTATTTGCATTCAAAACTGAAAAAAGAAAACTTAATAAAACAAAATTAAAACAATGTTGATCCATCTACAACACTTACGAGCTTGCAGCAGTACGGTGTTCCAGAGAATAATTATGAAGGGCGATACCGCCCTAACTAACTCCTGTTACACAGACCTTCATTAAAGGGACAGGACAAGTACCAACCCTACCACAACAGGAAGTGCCTACTACACTCAATCGACACAAAACATATCTACTATACCAGCCTCTGCGGTCTCTCACTCGGACAGACAGACAGCCTTGTTTGGTGTTACAAAGGTTCAATGTTAAAGATTTACAAACTACGTAATTTACAGAGCCTCTCTTCCATATACAGACCAAGACGGATGCTTGCTCTCTCATCAGCACGCGCTGTTTACTGTTCTTTGTCCCTTACAGTATACTTATAACTCCTCTGTGGTCAAACACTAACCACAAGATGACATTGTCACACGTCTCCTTCGAGATTGTCCACACGAAAATAGCCCCTACACTAATTGAAGAAACAATGCGAAATTATGCAAGGAAACCATGTAGCTATCTTAAGGCTCTATTGAATACCTATCTAATTAATACACAACCATAAAAGGAGTCACACTTAACAAAACGGCACGTGTTCATGTGGTGTTTACAATAAATGACACAAGTTCTCTTACTTATAACAAAAAACAACATGTTTAAGTAATACTTATAGCATGAAGACTTATGTAGAAGTTGTTGTTATGATGAAAAGACACGTGTACAAGTCTTACTAAGACACATGCACAAGTCTTACTAAGACACATGCACAAGTCTTACTAAGACACATGCACAAGTCTTATTGATATGTAAAAGTCTTAGTTATTTCATTTAGAAACGGTACAAGTCGTAATTATAACATAAAGTTACCCATACAAGCTAGTCTTACCTATATAACATAAAGACAGGTAAAAGTCTTAGTTATTTCATTTAGAAACGGTACAAGTCGTAATTATAATATATTTACATGTGTACATCATATTTATAACACAACGAAACATGTACAAGTCTTACTTATAACATAAAGTTACCCATACAAGTTAGTCTTACCTATATAACATAAAGACATGTAAAAGTCTTAATTTTTCATTAAGACATATGTTCAAGTCCTCATTATTACGTAAAGACACGTGTACAAGTCGTAGTTATAATATATTGACATGTGTACATCATATTCATAAAACAACGAAACATGTACAAATCGTACTAATAACATAAAGACACATCTTCACAGGACAACACAAGACACTTATCTCCTTTTTCTTTGGCGGACGTGTGAAGAATGGGAGCGACATTTTGGTCATCATCACTTTGGTCAAGGTAAGGATGACCATGACGGACAGCATCAGTAGCAGCAGGAAGACAAACAACACCACCACCATGTCTGCTTCCTTTGTTACCTACACACCACTGTTGTTATGGCAATACCACCTTCTATCACGGAATTCTTTCCAACAATATCACAGCCATATTTTGGTTTTGAAAATTTTCCTTTGGTAAATTAGTTCTGCAGATAACCATTGAATAATTTCCAATAATACCACAATAATATCCGTACTTTTTTTCGTA